ATGGTACTATACTAAAGCACTTTAGTAGCCATATTATTTATTCACCTTAAAAGCCACTGAAGAAGCTCAAGATAAATAAGTTTGTTCATAATAACTGAAGATTTAAGCAATTAATTGTTATAGGGGAATTTTTAAGGAATTACGAATGAAGAAAAACGTTGCTTCGCAGCAATTTTATCTACTTACCATTCAGTTACATGCACTTCATGCAATAAATATTAAAGATAAATCAATGAATAATCAGTTTAAACTTATAACATAAATTTCTACTCATGTTAGATAACGGTATGGCATTTGCACTTTTTATTGTTTAAAAAAATAGACCAATAGCATCAGGATAAATACATTTGTAATATAGGTATTTCCAGGGATGGATATTCATCATCAGCAAGTAATGTTACCTCATCAACATCAATGTAAAACGCAAATTTTTTTTTAAAATATCAGAAACATCATCGCAAGGTAAAACTAAACTTATATGGACGATATGTAACAGACTTCATAATTGTATCTTTGAATTGCTTTAAATAAATCATTTCACTTAACAAAGGAAAGCCCGATTTCATAATACTATTATATCTAGTTTGTTCACAGTATTGTGTGCACCATTAAAAATGTGATACTATTTTGTTAATGTGATGAGATAAAAATAAATAAGTTTGCGTTGATAAAAGTGCTAAGCCAAGTTCTAAATTTACTTATACTATGCCAATATCTTCATTTGATCAATAAACATTGGTTTATACATCCCTTTAATTTAGATGAGATAACTCTTCAACATTGAGTAGTTATTATATATAGATTCAGCATTTTATTTGTATTACTTAATTCACTAAATTTGAGAAAAACCTACCAACTAAATTCTCAAACTTTGAAAACTTCACCTATGCAAATAATGATTTATTCTATATAGAGGAAAGATATATATGGGATTCTTTTTTTTTGCCTAATTATTATCAACAACTTGTGATAATAGTTCTAAAGTCTCTTTCTTCTATCGGCTGAAATTCTTATAATAAGAAAATCAGTTATCTTGAAGTGAATTTTGCGATCCACGCTATTACTGAATTAAATAGTTGTTCTTCTTCTTATCTGGGTTGAAATTATATGGAATATCATCTACATAATCTTGAAATTCAAATGATAAATTTTTTATTTTGTTAAGCCCACTGATGTAACTCCCTTTCCTTATCATACTCAATCTAATCAGCATTTATATTGTCATTTAAATAATAAAATGGATATGCGCAATCCTACAGCCTCTTATTGGGCGAAGATGCATTATAGCTCTTGATAAACTTAAGGACTACATCTCGCTGATTCGTTTCACTTATTTCTCAATTAATAGTTCTACATACATATTCTGTGCTTTAGAGAAATAATTCTTAATTCAAAGTCATAGTGCTGCTCGATAGAATAATCACGCATCATTTGTGAGATCAAAGCATTTGTGCGACTTGATGAGCTTGAGGCCAGGTCAAATCTATAAGTGGTTGGGATGACTAAGTTCAACTCTTGACTTAAATCCTCTGCTTTTGTTATTAAGTATGGCAAATGTGTTTTATTGTTCATACAAGTATGACGTAAAAAAGTGATAGTCGGGGTATGGTCCAG